CAATGACAGGACATCTTATACTGCATAGGGAGACAAAGTATCGTTTATTGCAATAAAGTTTTTAAAAATTAAAAATTTCCCTGTTTATCATTCATACTACATAGGTCTCTTTTGAATGTACTCTGCTAGAACTGCTTTGCTAAACATTAATTATTTTGTTAAAATATTAATTTACAAAACTATCACAAATGCCATATATAAATAAAGTAAAAATTCAGCTGGTCCAAAGAATTTAGGATTCAAAACCCTTAAACTCAATCAATAAAAACACTGGGTAGTCACAGACTGTTTCCTGGCATTTTAAAAAGTGGGAAATCTGAAGGCCTTTTTATATTTTGTATTGTTTCTATCTCTTTTAATTCCAGGTAGAACAGTTCCTTCAGAACTCCTGTAGATGTCTTATAATCCGTTTCCTTAGCCAGATGTCATGCCAACATGTGCTCCTGAGACAGGCCTGGGCCTCCGGTGAGACTGAGAGTGAGACAGTGCACAATGCCCTGGTCTCCAACAGCCTTTATCTAACGGAGAAGAGGGCACCTGACACATCCATGAAGATTCTCTGTAACACTACTGCAAATCCCTTCAACCTTTAAATAATTTTACATAGCCCTATCCTTGGATTTTTATCTTGACATTTTACTTCACTGGTAGCCCTTTGGTTTGGCCTTTGTTCTGAAGCTACTAATTATTTTGCAACTCTTGTTAGGAAGGACTAGCATTTTGAGTTTTACTTTTGAATCTAGCAATTGCTGACTCCAATTTTTCAAAGACAAATTTCATTACTTCATCTTTCCTGAATCTTTTTTTTTTTTTTTTTTTTTTTTTCTATTTTTCCTGAATTTTTTTTTTTTTTTTTTTTTTTATTGAGTCTTTCCTGAATCTTATATTAGCAGTTAAAGAAATCAACTGTAAATTTCTGTATTCTATCTGGAAAACTTTTCCAGTCACATCTATTTTCATAGTTTCATTTTCTATGCTATTACAGGAAACAGTGTTGCCAAACTTTCTCTCAATCTCCAGCTTCCAATAACATTTTTCTCCCTTTCTTTCAATCTGTTACCAAAAGACTCAAGTTCCTCCCGCCTCTTGCCTTAACAAGCTTTGTAGGACATTTCTGTCTTGTACTTGTGCTGGGTGACAAAAACCAATTATCATTAGCTTTGGGGTTTTTATTACACCACCACCTTTTTCCAGGCAACAAATTTTGCTTTATTTGTTGTGCAACAAACTACTCCCAATTTAGTAGCTGAAAATGCTGCTATGTGTACTTCTTCCACATTCCTATGTTGAAAACAAATCACGTGTGATGGTGTTAGGAGGTGGGGTTTGGGGAGGTAAAGAGGTCAGGGAGCACAGCCCTCACAAACAGTATCAAGACCCTTACAGAAGAGGTCCCAGAGACACTGTGACCCTTCCACCATGTGAGAACATGACAAGATGGTGTAGTCCATGAACCAGAAAGCAGGTCCTCACTCAACACTAAATCTCCCATGCCTTCGTCTTGGACTTCTTGTTCTCCCTAGCTGTGAAAAATAAACTTGTTTATAAACTCCCCAGTTGATGGCATTTTGTTATAGTAGCCTGAAAGGATTAAGGTGCTACAGCAGTTCTTACTGGGGATCTCATCTGTAGGTGCAGCCAGAATGCAGCTGCAGTATAGGTCAGAGGAAGCCTTGACTGAGACAGATATCCAAGATGCCACACTTATGTGCATTATAGTTCCTGCTGGCCTATGGCTAGGCTGAGATCATAAACCAGGGACCTATAGGTGGCCTTGCTACGTGACTTGAGTTTCTTACAGCCTGTATTTGTCAAGGTACTTATCTGTGGCAGTTAACCTTCCTGAGGGAGCATTCCAAGAGAGTAGAAGTGACAGCTGCCAGTCTCTTGGGCACAGGTTTATAAGTTCTACTATACTGGCCAAAGCTGTCATAGAAGCCACCCAGATTCAAGAGAAACAGTGACAGACCTCACTTCTTGAAAGAGTGTCACAGAATTCACAGTCATATTATAGGAAAGGGCAGTTAAGAATATTTGTAATGGCATTGACATAAACTCACATACTCTACTAAAGATTTATTTTTCCTGAATGTGTTCATCATTCTTCTGTATTGATTCTTAGTTCAATGGCTTTTAGCCTGGCTGACTGCAGTTTTTAAAATCATCCAGAACACTGGTTTACTATGATATTCCATAATATTCTTGTCTGCTACTATATATCCATAAAACGTGGGTATTGTAACGTTTAGAAATAAGAGGAAAATAATCTAAAAAATATTAGCAAAAATATTTGCTATGAAATAAGCCTACATCTCAGCAGCACTATGGTTTGCTGTGTCCCCCAAAGGTTCTTCAGCTGCAAGCTTGGTCTCAGAATGGCAGTGCTGAAGTGATGCAAGCTTTATGAGGTAAGGCCTAGAAGGAAGGATTAATGTTGTAACTGAGCCTGGAACTCCCTCAAATCTCTCTTGCTTCCAGTCTCACCATGTCGTGATACAGCAAGGGGCCTTCACCATGCTGTCGCATGTACAGAACTGAGCTACATAAGCCTTTCCTTATAACGTAGTGAGCCTCCGGTGTTACATCAGGGCAACAAAACAGACTAGACAGTTATACGACTAGTACGTACGATCCTTTCTAGAAGCCAAACTTTATTATGTAAACTATTTCTTGGTATATGTATTATTACTGAGTATGTAGAATAAATGTTACATTTGGTAAGATTAAAATTATTGGCTCAAGATGAGCCATAGTGTTGAAGAATAACATCAACTGTCAGTTATTTTGCTCCAATAACAGCTGCTTTAACGACAGGCCTTAAATCAGTTATGCTGACCCTGTCTCTGAAATCAAAGTTTGTAGTACTATAAATTGGTGAAGAGAGCTTAACTAATAAAAAATAGAAATAATGAATTTAGTTTCTCCTTCTCAGGGATATGATAGACCAGCTTATTCACACTAATTCCTGTTTGAAAAGCTGAAGTGCTGGAGGGGTTTTTAAATCATTAAAGACTGGATGAAAGAGGAGGTCACAAAGTTACAGGCTCAAAAAAAATGAGAAAAAGAAACAGAAATAAAGTTGTCAGAATGGAATTAAAAACAAAAAAACGTAATGTGCCTTTTAAAAATTATAAGGACACAAACCAGGCATGATGGTTCATGCCTAAAATCTCACCACTCTGGGAGGCTGAGGCAGGAGAATCAGAAGTTTGTGCCAGGCTAGGCAACAATTTAGGGAGACCTTGTATCAAATTTAAAAAGGGTTGGGGATGTGATTCAGCACAAAAGCTCTGGATACAACTACCAGTTCAAAGAGAAAGAAAAGGTGAGGGGTGGAGGGGGAGGAAAACACAGAAACACTGACAATAAAGGTATGATACCAAATATATCACCCAAACACTAAGTTCAAGGAAGTTCACCCAGCTGTAATACTGGATGGAGCAAGGCTTTTAAAGTAAAAAAACATACTAATGAGTCACTTCAAGGAAATAAAATTTATCTTTCAACATAAAAATAACACAATTTTCAATTTATATACACCTCAAAAACAGACAGAAAGAGACAAATCCACAATCACCAACAGATTTTATCTGTTTACATATCTCTCTAAGTAATTCATAGAGCAGTAGACAGAAAATCATTAAAGATATAATAGACTTAAGAAACTTGATCTAATCAAACATATACAGAATACTGTGTTGCAGAACTGTAGAATATGTATGTTTTTCAGTTCTACACAAAAACATTTACTGAGCAGATCACATATCAGTGCATAAAGCGTATCTCAACAAATTTCAAAGAACTGAAATCACAAAGCATGTTTACTAATCCTAATCTACTATATTCAGTTATAGCTCAATTATATATCAACTAAAGTTGTTGTAAAAATGAATTGTATTTAATATGGTAGAATATGGGGCCAGGGATTTAGCTCAGTGGTTCTGCTGCCTGCCTCACAAGCACAAGAACCTGAGTTCAATCCCCGGTACAACAACAACAAAAAAAGGTAGAATATGTATATATCTTTTTGAGGTACTGGGAAGTAAATTATCTCTTCCCTAACAAATTAAAATTAAAAAGCAAATTTCAGTTAATGACAAAAATCTGTAAAATAATTCACATCTTAGTTTATTTGGTTATAAAAAAGCTAATTTTCAACAGTTATCACCAGAACTCTAAAGCATGATTAATAATAGTAAAACTTCTAAAGTTCTAAAATTTAAGCAATAGGAAGTAAAACAAGTTTTCTTGTAGCCACTATCTTACCTACTTCAGTTAAGAGTGGATTCTGTATTAAAATAAATCTTCTATGCCCAAGACACATCCCCAAATAATGAACATTTAATCAACTGAACATGTAAGTCAATAAGGCAAATTGATGCAATGCACTTCATAACAGCAAATTACTTAATACAAGTCCAAGCAAAAGTAGTTTTCTTCTTTTTATGCAAAAAACCAAATCCAGTATGTTAAATAAAATTTTAAGGAAAAAACCTAAATTGACCCATAATTCCTCCCACCCAATCCAAGCAGTTTGATTTCAGAATTACCCACTTTCAAGTTTATCCATGTGCAGTCATTGTATACAAGTATTTTTTTTATAACTTTTTTCAGCATACTCCATGTTTACATTCATTCTAATTACACCTTTTCTATAGTACACATAATACTATTTCCCACTGAAGTATTGTATTAGCCATTCAAGTTAGACATTGGGGTTATTTCCAGGATATTTTGTGTTTCTGTATTTGGTCACCACTAGCTGAAACTAAAGAAAAGGCGTGTTATAGCACATATGCACTTGATAACACCAGCAGTGGGTATTGGCTTTTCTAAAAAAGGGAGTAACACCTTAAATTCAATCTAAGAATTTACCCTAGAAAAATTCTCATGATTTATACAATCTGGAGAATCTTAGGCTTTTTTTTTTTAACCACAGTGGTGGTGTAAATATACTGTGTAAGTCTTAAAATAATTTTATATATATTTTAAAAATCCCTACATTCTCTTTAAACATTCTTAAAATTATCATATTCAAAGGGCCGTAATTTCATGAACAGAGAGTAACTTAATTTAGTGTCAAACTATGAGTTAGAGATGGTTGTAAAGCAACCAATTACATGATGGCAAGTAAACAACTAATTGGTAGGCTCTGAAGTCAATCCCTTATTTCCCTCTTTACATTTATGTTTTCTTAACTGTTTATTCTGTGTTTGTGAGTATTTTAAAGGCCTATTTTGTTCTACACAAAAACCAACCAAACCTCACTCATTCTGTAGCTCCTTTAGGGAACCTCAAGATCCCTTTCCCTTTTTAGCCCTGGGGATGGAAATCAGGGTCTCTCACGTGCTAGGCAAGTACCCTATCACTGAGCTCCATTCCCAGCCCAAGATTCTTTCTTAAACTGCCAAGTCTTAATGAATTGTAACTTTTCCTCAATATCTTGCTGTGCCACTGCACAAGCCATTCTGAATGTCATCAGTGTTCTGCAGCTGTTAAATCCAAGTCACGTTTGTAACCTCAGACCGCTGTACAACCTTTACAACCTTGCCTCCCACATTTCTCACCACTCTGTGTGTGTGTGTGTGTGTGTGCACGCGTGTGTGTTCTATTCACAAAGTCTGTCCTCAGCAATACTTCTCTTCAAATACTTATCCTTGAGTGTCTCAATTACTCATATACTAACTGTAGGTAGAATCCAAACCCATAATTCCTCTAGCCTTTCCTCAAAGGACTAGATCTCTATTTCCAATTTCATGGACTCTTACTTTTAGATTCTCTAAAAGAAATCCAACTTAATATGTCAAAAATCAGTTTTATCCATCTCCCCCACATTAATTCACCCATCACAGGAAAAGATAGACATATAAACAATGATGACAATTTTATGATCTTTCTGTTTTATGATGGTCGACATGTAGAATCTTTCATATAATGGTGGTTTTGGAAGCCAAGACCAGAATTTGTGTGTTCATCTTTGTTATTACACACTCAAAGATAACCTTCTTTTAATGCATCATAATTGTATTTTACTGAATATATTTTAAAAAACTAAGTCTCATAAGCAATGAGTAGTAACTGACTACACTAATAAAAATCTCTCGTTCATCCTTTCTCATACATCAGTACTCTTCCTACTCTCAGTGTGTCAAGTTACTGTCCTCAGGGTAGATTGTTCTTTAAATCTCTCAGCCCAGATTTCATTCCTTCTTCCCGTAATGCTTTTCAACAAATTTCCAAAAATACTTTGTAAAAAAAAATCTCAATTTCTAAACAATATGATACACATGCTAATTATTTTCACTCCTGTTTTCCTTTACCCTCTTCCATCTTCTATTTCCCCTAAGCATAAGCTACCTGAGGATATCAACCATGTTTCTCTCATCTGTCCTGTAAGGCACTGTGCACAGAAAATGCTAAATAAATATCTGAACTGAGAGAATCCAATTAACTGACTGAGCTATAAAGCAAAAATAAAGTTTTCACACTGTTTATGGAACTTAAAAAAATCAAACATGGGAGGAATAGTAAAGTCATTTTATTGAATGATGACAAACTAAAGTGACAAGAAGTATGGAGAGTAAACAATCATCATCATTAAGTTCTACTGGAATTCTAATTTTTCTTTTCACTTTTAAACCAAAAAACATAAATTTATAGACTATTAGCTAGTTGCTTGTTGTTTCTTCAACAAAACTGCATAGTCTAGCAGCTGCACAACATTTAAATATCTACATTTTTTGAAAAGCCCTGAAAATTTAATTTTTGTGTTGACTTCAAAGGCTAATGTAATCACCTGCACTGGTCAGATTCAGAGTTTCTTTTTCCTTTTCTGCCACCCTGTAAAGAAAAAACAGAGCAAAGTACTTAGGAAACACCATTTTGGAGCCATTTTCATTTAAAGATTATGAAACCAAAGGCATTTTATAATAGGAAAATGAAGCATTTTTTTCTTGAATTCATTATAAGTTTGAGTGCACATACAACTAAATTATTCTTATATGGTTATGTTAATGTTTAAAATACATTGTAGAAAAGTTATAATACTTCTACATAAATTTGTCTAGTCTTAATTTGTATGATGACAAATATCATAATTTTTAGAACACATTTTCACTGTCCTAGAGCAGAAAATATAATTTTTGAAATAACTATTAAACCATACACTTACTAATTTGTTCCATATGAATTGCCATCTTAGTTTACTACTTTCTGGGTAGTTAAATTCATAATTCAAGTTCTGTCTAGTATCACTCATATCAAACAGTGTTAGAAATGTGATTTTGTTCATCAGTAGACTGGAAAGTAGGTTATACTTTTCATATTGCTTTGTTGCATATAAAAATCTGTACTTACTTGGCTGCATATGAAGCACCATTTATAGTATTTGACATAAATCAAGAAAAAAGGAAGGTAGCTTAAAAAACAAGTACTTTACATATATTATTTATAATGTAACATTTTCTGCTTTATTCTAATTTTAAAAGCAAATACTGTAGAAATTTGGAAAAGATAAAGGTACAAAGAAGATAATAAAAATCATTCATAACTATATATTCTATCCCTCAATTTAACCATAAGCAATGATTTGATAGATTTATCTACTAATAGTTTTATATTTTTTCCCATTTTTTAAACTGTGGCAATGAGACCCAAATTTAGTTGGTTATAAGAATCAACTAACTAGGGGCTGGGGATTTAGCTCAGTGGTTCTGCTGCCTGCCTTGCAAGTGCAAGGACCTGAGTTGAATCCCCAGTACCAAAAAAAAAAAAAAAAAGAGCACACTGAAAGAATCAACTAACTAGTAATCTTTAAAAAATTCTCTTATCTAGGCTTTGTTCCAAACCTATTTAACTGGACTTTAATCAGCAACTAAAAAGTTTCCTCACAAGTTTGATGATCAGCCAAGGTGGGACCTGCTCGTGTGTGGAAGAACATTTACAAAAGTGGTGGTCATTCCAGGGTATATCAAGCCCAGGCTCATCTGTAACTGATGGTATTCCTCTTTATTTCTTTTACCTTTTTCCTGCCTATATTTTCTCTCTGCGGGGGGGCAAAACATTTTTTACATCTAAAAAGTAAACAAAAACATCCCAAGTGTAAGAATGTCATTCTTTGTTCCTGATAACAAAAATTCTGTGAAGTTTTATTCATAGAAAAATAGGGTTTTGTTTGGTCTAAAGGTTTTGTTGGGACATGAGATATCCAATGACATTGTTATTTTTTTAAGGATTATTTCCTGTTAGCAGAAAATAAAAATGAATTTGGAAAAAATTTTCTTTAACACGTTCACAATGGAGCCATAAATTCCTATGTCTCACTGCTGGGTAGCTTGTGTCACTGGTGGTACATGGATGACTGTCCCACTTGGCAACCACTGATGGGACTGTGCCATGCCACCCAACGGGACAGTTATGCGTGCACCATCAGTGGTTCAAGCTGGAACAAGTACGTTAAAGTACACAACCAATATTCACATCCACAATGTTATGTAGCTTAAAATTCTTACCATGCTTCTCAATGAGGTTTTTACAAAGAACCCCCCAAAAGAAATATATAAAGATCCTTTCCAAAGCTTCCAGGCAAAGGGAATTCTCTCTCCCCAACTGATTCACAAAGCCAGTGGCATAGAGCTTTTTTGACTGTGGTTTTCACATTAATTAATATATTTAATGTAATGCACACATACATTGGTACATATAAATATATGTGTGTATGTGCACACAAATGTATATTAAAACAAAGCATTGGTTTTTTTAGTGCTTTATTCAGAAAAAAATGTGGAATCTGATCTTGTAAATGAAGAAAAAATGACAGAATTAGAAAATAACTATTTATTTTCTTATATTGGGGATTGAACCCAAGGCCTTTTTGCTTAGCTACATTTGTAGCCCTTATTATCTTTTATTTTGAAACAGGTTCTTGCTGAACTGCCTAGGCTGGACTACAATATGCAATCCTGTTACCTCAGCCTCCCGGAGTATTAAGATTATAGGCATGTGATACCATACCCAGATAAAACCATTATTTTGCAACCCCTACACTAATATCTAATACAAATATCATCAAAGGGTAAAATCACTAGGTGAAAGGGATACTCACATAATATGAAAGCAACCCCCACATATAACTTATTAAATATAAAGGGGAGGGGGTGAGGATTTAGCTCAGTGGTACTACACCTGCCTTGCAAGTGCAAGGTTCTTTGAGTTTGATCCCTGGTACAAAAAAAATAAAAAGAGATAGACAGACAGAGACAGACAGATAGATGTGGGAAAAGATATATTTACAGGGAGCTATCTAGGAGACATCACTGTACTAAGCAATCATATAATGGGACAAATGTCATTATTTGTTTTCTTTCAATGGCATGTACACATCTGCTGTGTAGTTCCAAGGATTTTCCTAGATTATTTTAATATTGCTATATGCACCAATATCAAGACTAATCTTTTCTAAAATGTAAATTTTATGACCAATAACAAAATTATTAATATATTTGGTGGATAAATTTTGGCCTAAAAGTAATATTTTATTTATTCTCATATAGTATGTATACTAAATGTACCATGTGTGATGAAAACTCTTTAAAATGGTAAAAGCATACCTGGTACTTGGCTAATTCTGCTTGTAATACTTTCACTTTAGATCTTTCTTGTTCTAATGCAGCATGAAGTGAAGTCACCTAAAAAACCAAATAGTCAATAAGGAAACAATTTTGTATATATGTTTATTGGCAATATAGTAACACTTATTCACAAGGATAAAATCTGACAGATAAACTAGTATCTGAGGAGAAATCTTCCCTATAATTTCTACTAGACATTGTACACAGCTATATACTTCTAAAGATAGCTAGGACGAGCTCATTGTCATAAGAGGAAACAATAACAAAAAGAAAAATCATGTCTAGTAACAAGGTAAGTTCTATCTGCTTTCTCTATGGTTATAGTCCATCTAAAATACCACTTTTATTTTTCTCTGTTTTTCAGGTCATATTTATCTCCCTTAGTTCTAGTTTAAACAGAGTCTTCACTTATTTGCTATTATGCAATAACAAAGTATAATTTCTATCATCACCTTGCAATGTTGATAGGCTGTGTTTCTACTAAGTCAAATGTACTGATTTAAGCCTCAGAATAGCTTAAGATAACCTGTCTAGTGCAAACAAGCAGGTCCTGGCTAGATGCAAGCCCCCTTGCCCCATGTTAGGGCATGACCATCTATCGACTCCAAGGAAGCTCTACCTTTTGATTTTCCTTGGCATGGGGCAGCAGAGGAAAGGACTAACCCATGTACCTGATCCTGGATGAGGACAAAGTCCAGAAAGAGAGGGAAGCAACCAGAGCCTGCCTATTTCAACTGTAAGCCCAAAGTTCACTTGAACCCCTGTCCTGGAGTCTACATCCAGCAGAGACAAGAGGTCTGATTGCATTTCCTATCTACCAAGAGAGCAAGGAATGTGGTTTAGATGGTAACCACATTCTGGGGTGAATGAACAGAGGGGCCTCTGGCAGAGGGAGGGCATCTCAAAAGCTCACAAGCCTTAAGCTGGGTGGGGAAAATTGTGACTGGCAGGATTTCCAGAATGCCAATCCCGGAAATATATCACTTATTCGAAAAACACTGGAATTTTTTCTTTGAATCAGTCTTTTTTAAATTTATGTTTATAGTCCATCTAAAATATCACTGTATCTTTCTCCTCATTTCAGGACATATCTACCTCCCTTTGTTCAAGTTTAAACAGAATCTTTATTTATTTGCTATTAAACAATAATAAAATATAATTTTTTTTAAATTAATTTTATTGGTACATTTTAGGTATACAATATAATGGCATTCATCATTGGAGAGCTGTGCCTTCACATGATATAGCCTGATCCTTATTTTTTCCCCATGCCCCTCCCCTCCCTTTACCTTGCAATGCTAATGGGCTGTGTTACTATTTTTTTAAATTTTCCTTTATCAAGTTCTTTGGAGGTTTGAAGTTTTACTTTCCTTTTCTTCGTCTTTAGGTTTCTTTTGTATTTTCCCCTTTCAAATTTCTCTTCCTCCTCATCTCTTATTTCCTATATTTTTCTGTTTATCCCTTTTCTTTTTTGTTCTTTTTTGTGACTGTGTCGAACACTATCAATTTCCTTTTACTCAACAGGACTTCCTGTCTCACTTTTCTCTCCATCTTCTCATAGCCTATTGATTTCTCAAATTCTGCTTTTTTTCATTCTCTGGTTCCTCATCCCCTCTACCTTTACTAGTAAAACCAATAAGCTTTATGAACTCTAGATAGCTAGCTAACTTTACACTACTGATTCTGAATACTGTTGGATTGTTAGCAGAGTTAGTTATTCCATTTAGGAGATGTTTATCAATAATAGGTCAATACTAGTTCGGCTTCGTGTTCATGCTATAGTTATAGATTTCTCTTCTATGGCAAAAGATGGTACATTACTGGTCTTAGGGTTTATCAATATTCAGTTTAAATTTGACAATATAATTATTGCTGATTTTATTACTACAGCAAAGATGACATAGCTGTTGCTATTAACTGCTTTTCTTGGAATGCCAAAGTCTGGACTGCCTTAGGATTATGACTGTGGCCCCTTCCTGGAAAATATTACCGGGCCAAATATGCTGCAATCTCCCATTCCAAGTAAACAGAGGTGTCTGGATCCTGAGACAGACACAAAAGCTAATAGCCATGTCCAGAGAACACCAATGAAAAGCAGACATTAACTAAACAGGCCTCTGTACTGAAAACAAAGATTTGAACTACAATCAACCCGGAAGCATCAATACTAACAAACAAAAACCAAAAAACAGAAACCTGAGAAGACAAGCAGACATAATGCCTCCAGAAACTGATCCATGGGGCACTGAAGGGGAAATAAACCAAAAGCCACACACCTAAATTATTTGAAATGATATCAGGAGAGATAACAAAACAGATCAGTAAGGCATGCAAGCTCACAAAAGATAAAAGTAACAGGTATTCAGTCAAGTAAACAAAATGACCAGAGTCTACATAAGACACTAATAAAAAGCTAGCAAAACTAAATAAAATGAGGTAAAACATTAATAACTACCATGGAAAAGAATCAAGTCCATAAAAAGCTTCAAATAGAAATTTGGGAGATTAAACATTCTACTAAAACTATGGGCAGCAAAAGTAACCACCGTGAAGGCACAGAAGTGAGAGCAGAGTGTCAGAACTGGAAGACAGGGCTATTGTTGGTGACCAATTAATAAAAGACACCTCAACAGTACAAGAGATTATACAAAATGGATCCAACAGCTCTTACATGATGCAAAGAAGACTTATCTAAGATCATCTTCAAATTCAAAATGGAAGCAGAAGAGATCTAGAAAAGCAGCTCTGAGTAACAAGAGCAAAGCAGCAGGCTTCATAATCCTAGACTTGAAGTCATAAAAATATCAAAGCTACAGTGATAGAAATAGCATTATGCTTTCATAAGAACAGACATGAGGATCAATGGAACAGAACAGAGGATACAGAAACAGCCTCAAGCATATGCAACTACTGATCTCTGACAAAGGGCCCAAAAACTTCCGCTGGAGGAAAGATAGCCTCTTCAATAAATGGTCCTGGGAAAACTGGCTATCCACATGCAGAAGATTGTATCTAGATACATATTTCTTACCATGTACTAAACTAAAATCAAAGTGGATCAAAGAACCAAATGTTCAAGCAGAAACAACCTGCTGGAAGATAAAATAGGTGAAACTCTTGAAGTCATAGGTATAGGCAAGGACTTCCTGAGTAGAAACCCAGTTGCACAGGAAACAGTAGAACAAATTATGTTCCTGCAACTAGGTCTTTAGTGAATTGACTGCTAAATGACAAATTGTATATAGTATGTATATTACAATATTCAGAACAAAGAAGCAGGTAAAGCAACTTGATGACTTTGCTTTTATTTACATAACGCACCTTGAGACTATAAATGTTAAATGAGACACAGGAGTTTCTCTCATGTGAGAGCAAAATAAAGAAAGAGCAAATTAAAGGGTGAATAACATGAAGTAAGGAGACAGTACATTTTTTCAAAATGGGAAGGGCATCAAGAGACAGAAGGGGAATGGAGGAAAGGAAACGGGGATGAAAAAATAATTCAGATGTGTTCTATACATACAGAAGACAAACATGCACTGTAAACATACACTAATACAAATTTAAAAGGAAGACTGTCGCATGCATTCTATAGTTCCTCACCTGTACAGTTAGCTCATTCTTGATACTTTGTGATTCATCAACTTGCAGAAGTATTTCTGCTTTATCTTTCACTGGTAAAAAGGAAAAACAGAATGTGTAGGTCTTATTTTTCATCAGTAAATTCTAATCATTATCACCACTAGTGTTTTCTATGAGAATTTAAAAATTTTCTGTAGTGTTAAAATATCAATTGCACAGATATTATGAATGTGCAATTTCTCCATCTACATTAACCAGGAAAAGTATACAAGACAAGTTAAAAGACTTTAAATACTCTAATTCTAAAGTAAGATTTTAAAAAGAGTACAGAATACTTTTTTGGCTAACAAAATTATTATTCTCTGACTTTTAATGCCAATAAAGCACTGTCTGATGAATGTAGTTTTTCATATCATAACTGAGTATATAATATCTGTAGTCCCCTCCTATGGGAAGCAAGAGCCCTTTATTTTGGCCCCTGTGTTTCCTAAACTTCAGAAATATTCACATAGCTAATACATGAAACAAACTAACTCCTCACTTTGAAAATAAGCTAGGGAGAGACTGAAGAGGCAAAATTATAATAAACTTAGCAAAGGAAAGAATGTTCAAAACACATAAAACTGCTGCTATCACAACAGGGTATCAACTCAGAATACTTCATTTATCGATCATCTTAAGCACTACTGCTTTGCAATAAGAATATTCAAAATCCTTTTAGATTATTTTGAATTATATGATACAGTATTGTTTATAATAATCATCCTTGTTTGTAAAAAAAAAAAGAACTTATTCTTATTTGGCTGTGACCCTGTAAGCCTTCTCATCTTTAATGAAACACTAATCGTTTTTTTGTTTTGTTTTGTTTTATGAGGCAGGGTCTCACTATCTAGGTGAGACTGACCTGGACTCACTATGTAGCCCAGGCTGGTCTTGAACTCACAGTGATCCTCCTGCCTCAGCCTCCCGTGCTGGGATTACAGGCGTGCGCCACTATGCCCGGCTAGTCACTAATAGTTTTTTACTGTTGCACATTTAACAACATTTTTCTCAGTCTTGTGGTTTTAACTATGTGATTTTGCAAAGGTAGATTTTTGGGGAACATGTTACATTATAACAGAATTGACTATATTTACATGTAAAGTGCTGCAGTATTATAGAAATTTTCATGTAATGCTCTACACAAAACTCTTCTAGTTAGATTCAGTGTGGACTATTGACATATAGTTAATTAGAGATTACTTTTTATTCATTTGGACACAATTTCTGCTTTTTATTCATGTTGTTTTGTTTTGGTGCTATGACTGAACCCAGGATCTTAAAAATCATATTGTTCTGACAACTGTTACCCTGTGAACTAATTTAAATTTCAGTTACTACTACCAATACCTTCACATCTGAAAAAACCCTTTGATATCTTATTTTCTTATTTTTCATTGTGGGTTTCATAATTTTTAAAGTGCTATACAATACTCAAAGGCACTAGGATTTCTTTAGCACTTATTAAGAAATAAGACTATAATATTTAATGTCTGTTCAGGAAATTATCTTTAATTCACATCTTTTTTTTTAGACAGGGTCTCCTTATGCAGTTCAGGCTGGCCTTGAACTCACTGTATAGCCCAGGCTGGTCTTGACCTCATGGCGATCTTCCTACCTCAGCTTCCCAAGTGTTAAGATTACAGGCGTGTGCCACTACACCCAACATTTTTTTCTCATTTATTCACATCTTAATCAACATCATTTTTATGATTTCCCTTGCATAAATTTAAAATTAACACATATTGCCTTCGCTGTTATGAATAAGTATTTCATAGAACCTTCAAAATAAATGTCACTAGGTACATATTCAGGAATGCACCAATTAGCAGATTTTCATATAGCATCAACTTTACCAACCATTTGTTATTTTACTAATCATTTTTTGGACTGATTTTCTTGGCTTCTTGCTGGTGACCTCCTGCCAAAAATTTAGAGTCACAGCAAGAGTGAGAAGAGCAGTTTGGGGGTGGGGAGATAAAATAGGAAGGAAATACCAAGAAAAACCTAAAGTAATCACAGGCTACCTTCTCCACTAATTAAAAGCCAAATCGTAAGCAAAGAGTTTGATTTCTTTTCCTCTAAATATAGTCCAGTAATTTATAAAAATTGAAATTTCAAGGACTTATCCTACCAGAATAATTGAAAATATATATAAAATTAAAGTGAAGTGTAACTTACAGTATTTTCAGCCACTATCCAGATCATATCATTCTGGAAAACCTTTTTATTTTGTTGCATTGATAAGTCATGTATCATGAAAAATTATTTTCAGATATTGTTTAAACTTCAATCCTAAAAAAAAACCAGATGGTCACTTACTTTCACCTTCCTGAAGCATTTTCAGCAACTGTGCATTTCTCGCCTTTACTTCTTTATACTTTGCCTAATAGTCAAAGAAAACAAGATTTAATTTTTAAAAAATGAATGATATAATGAATGATTCAGTATCAATTCATAGAGCCATTAATTCTAGGCTTGCTCAAAAGCATAAATTATTTTGGAAGAAACAGAATGGGGGAATGTAACTGGAACTGTCTATTACTTAAATCTGACACAATAGTAGAAATTAATATTACAGGTGACCAAAAATTAAAGGATAAAAGTAAAGTCAGGATTTAATTTTCCTACAGTCTTCCTCTTCCTCCTCAAATAAACCCTTAGCAACTTAAAATAATTTAGATTCAGTCCTAAAGAAAAATGACTGGTAGTTCTACGTCAGTATTGTTCATTAATATACCAGAACTCTTCATCTGGTTCTGTATCTGTTACTGCCCTCTGTGGCTAGTGAACATGAGAAATGTAGCTAGTGCAACCAAGAAAACGATCAGGAGCAGGGATTTACTAGGGATTGAATTCACTGACTCATGCATGCTGGGCAAGCAACTCTACCACTGAGCTACATTCTCAGACCAAGAAAATGAATTTTAAATTTTATTTAACTCTAATTTAAATTTTGAGACACTTGCATTGTTTAATTTTTTTCCTTTTTCTTTTTTTCAGTACTGGGGATCGAACCCAGGACCTTTGCACTAAACTTTTATCTCCAGTCCTTTTCATTTTAAGACAGGGTCTTATTAGGCTGCTAAACCATCCAGGCTGGTCTCACACTTGTGATCTTTCCTGCCTTAGCTACCCAGAAGGTTGATATTACAGGCATATACTACCATACTTGTCTAGATTGTTAAATTTTATAGTGTTGTTTTATACCTCCTCAGATTAGGTTTCACTAATCCCACTGATTTACCAACTAACCAATTATTGTTACAGTAATTTTGGGCTGAAATGAATTAGTAACTTACTCAACTCAGGACCTTGTGCTTGTGAGGCAGGTGGTGGCACCACTGAGGTAAATCCCTGGCCCTCCTTAAACTTTTTTTTAAAGTTTCTTTTTCCAAATGGCAGTTTCTTCTTACACAACATAAGTGATACAATTACACATTTATGAATGAGTGGCATTGTGCTCCCACATTAACAGTAACAGTCTAAGCAATTTTTGGCCTACACTACCTTTATTCAACATATCTTGCAACAATCTCTGAATCACTAATAGTTAATAAGTACTTTAGATAAAACCATACTTTATTATAGAAAAATAAAAGCCTAAAGAAAACATATCAGTGTAAAAAACTTGTCATTTTTCCTTTCAACATGTACAAAGATATGTATACAAGGTCCCAGATTAAGAAAACTTTTTTGTGGTATTGGGATTCAATCCAGGGCCTTATGGAAGTGAGCTATGTGTTCTATCACTGGGATATGCCCAGTTAACAAATTAAAACTTTTTTTCCTGTGCTGGGGATTAAACTCAAGGCCTCATGCATGCTAGGCAAATGCTCTACTGCTGAGCTATATTCCAGCCACTAAAGTTATTTTAAGTACTTTAAAGAAAGCTTTTGCTATACAGTGCTCTATCCATTAAATTGCTGGTGATAAATCAATAATTTTATGCGGTAATATTGCCCTCAATACAGTGAATCAAAGTAAGCACCATAATAAGTAATAGAAGAGTGGAATTTTTTTTCCTCCCTGTGGTCCTGGGGATCAAAGTTCGAGCCCTCTACAACTGAACTATACCCCTATCTCTTATTAGTTTTTATTTTGAGAGAGGGTCTCATTAAGTTGCCCAGATGGGACTCAAACTTATGATCCTCCTACCTCAGCCTCCCAAGTGCTGGGTTCATAGGCCTGCACCACGGCTCCCAGGTAGGACTTCTGAGAAGCTTAAAAATGAACAAGAAGGGATGGAAGGGTTGGCACATGCCTGTTGTCCCAGCTACTAGAAAGACTAAGGCCAGAGGATCACTTGAGCCTGTGAATTCAAGGTCAGCCTGGGCACATCAGAAAAAAGAAAAGAACAAGGAAGACAAGTCAGATGGAAACAAATATGTGGGAGGGAAAACATACATTCAAGTGCAATTGTATTCATCATCAACATGAAACTACGTTACCATGAAACCTCCAGTGTCAGAGCTGCAATCTATGTGAGTATTTCTCCAAACTCTTTTTAGCTCAAGCTTTTTGTCCAAGGTCTAGGTCAATATACATTCAGGTACCTCTTATGCAAGTCTTAGGGCCTAAAATTAGCTCATGAAGCAAATATGCAAACCTACCTGTGATAATATCCTAAACTACTTATAAAAAAGTAGCATATACATTTTGTATAGACAATCCTAAATAGCAAATGTATCTACAAAAACAGAAAGATATAAAATACTAGTAACAAGTAGTTTATACCAAATAGCACATACGAAATGTACAATGCCCTTACTGGCATTTTGCATTTCATGAAAGAGAGACCATATAAATTTAAATGTGCTTATGTTGTGATTCCACTGTGTCCAACTGTATCCTAACAATATATGTCTGCAAGTAATACAGCCATTTCAAATGCAACATGTCCAAAATGATTGTTAGTGCTAGTCTTCAAACCAGTTCAACTTAGTATTTATTCTTTGTTTTACTGAATTATCTCCATCAGGTCTCAGCTATAGGAATTATCAGCCCATAAAACAATCCTCATGTCACTTCACTGCTAAACACTGTTTAAAATCCACATGCCTTCCACTTCTCCTCCCAAGGAGGATCTCTAATCTCACCTTTTATGGACAGCTTCCCATCTCTCTGAAGGCAGCTCTACCACACTTCTTACCATTCCCATGCCTTTGTAAATGCTGCCGTCCCTACCTGGAAAAATCACTTTTTCTGTGAAACCCTCACCAATTTTCAGTGGCAGCAGCTTATGTATTCCTTTCTCTGTCCTTCAGGAATACTCTGCCAAATCTCAATTTTAATTCCTACATTGTATTGCAATTATTTACATGTTTATTTCATCTGTACCTCACCTTTGCATTCCCTGTGCCTAAAACTGAAGGAAAAAATAGAAATTAAAAGCTAAAGAGATGGGCACAAGCAGGATTTGGCAGGTAAGACTTTTAAAGGCATGAACAGAGGAAGAACATTTAAGAACAATTGGGGCTGAAACTTGATTTACTTTTTTCACTTTTACATATGCAGGGCCCAGAAAAGTACCTGGTGTACTATGAGCGTTCAATCAATAATGGTTGCACAAAAATAATCAAAAAATAGTATTTGAGATGAATAAGAGATTTTTCTAAAACCTAAAGGAAGAAATAGAGTAATAGATTTGTGGTAAAAAATACAGTAAATTATATACACAAGTGGTAGTGGGAATGTGGACAAACTGGAACCCTTGTGTACTGCTGCTGAGAATATAAAATGTACGGCTGCTCTAGAAAAGTTTGGAAGCTCAGGGAGTTAAACAGAATCATCACATGATCCAGTCATTCACTTTTAAGTATATGCCCCAAGAATTGAAAACAAGAACTCAACTGTACACCAATAAACAAAATGTGGTATATACATACAGTGGAATATACTGACCTATGAAAAGGACTAAAATTCTGACATACACTGCAATATGAATGTTTGACCCTCAAAAACATGAAGCTAAGTGAAATAAGCCAGGCCCAAAAGAACAAATGGTATAAGATTTTACCTATATGAGTTACCTAGAATAGGCAGATTCATGGGGGTGAGAGATCACAAGGGATAGGGAGTTGTTCAGTGGATACAGAGTTTTTGTATGGAATGATAAAAAAAGTTCTGGAAATAGCGGTGATCGCATATAATATTGTTAAGGTATTTAAGTCATTGAATTATATACTTAAATGCTTATATATAATGCTTATACATTAAATTTTTTATTATATATATAACATGCTTATATATTATAGATATATTCAATGTTTATATATATTTTATGACGCTAAAAATTATATTACTCAGGTTTAAAATCAACCGGTTAAAATTGATCCAAATGGTTACTTGTATCAATTGAATATTAAACACACATATAATAAAAACAGAAAATGTGCAAGTTTATGGAATTATTTTCCTTTATAAGAGTAAGTGGATACACACCTCCCACTGAGTGATCACATTTTTCAGCTTCTGGATTTCAGCATCTTTCCTTTCAAGTTCCAACTTTAATCTTTCAATTCTTCCATCTTTAAGAGCCACTTCCTAAAAAGAAAAGAAAAACTCTGTTTTAGGATTCAGATTGTTCTGTCACTGCTGGTCTACCATATTCCTTTGTGAAAAGTTTAGGAGAAAAAAATCTGATTTAATTTTATAGGCAACCATAAACTACTGACTACATTTCCACTTTGGCTCAATTACATGTGTTTAATTATATACAGTACAAGCAAGGTTTTAACGATTAATCTCAAACTATAAACATACAATAGAATAATAGCAGAATTTGAAATATTTCTATCCAGAAGTAAGCATATTACAAGCACTCCATGACAAACTGTTGTTAGGTGTCTGTCTAGACAATTCCTGTCGTCTTGCACCATACACCCAAATAAATAAATTTAAATGTACAAAGGCTCCCCAAGGACTGGAAATGTATCTCAGTGATAGAGTGCTTGCCTAGCAGGAGACCCTAGGTTTCATTCCCAGTACCACACACACACACATACATACTCACACACACATATACACAAAATTATACTTTTGTTTTTTGGTACGGGGGATCAAACTCACATCCTTGTGCTTGCAAAGCAAGCAGTGGAACCACTGAGTTAAATCCCCAGCCCCCAACAAAATTGTACTTTTGATGAGTACAAATTGGCTCTGTTTACCTAAAGAAGAATGTGGCAATATATTTCACAACCACTCACTGAGTATCTAATTGCTAGTTGAATAGAACTGCAAATTCTTGTCCTCATGGGACTTGTCTAGTAGAGGAGATAGATGTTACATAAATGCTGCAAGAAACCAAGGTTTGAGCTGTGAGGGAAAAAAAGAGGCTGGTGGTCTGGTATATAACGAGGAGGAAGATGATAGAAGATAACTTTGGGAAAAGGGGTAGAGACCCAATCTTGGAAAGCTTTGAAGGCTTTAAGAACATTCTGAATATTATTCTGAGTAAAGAAAAAAGTGAAGGATTGTGAACAAGACTGTTATAATTTATGTCAGGCTTATGTTTGCAAAGAACTCCCTTCGAGGAATGGAAAATGGATTGAAGTGTGAGTGTGACAGGTACACAACCTTAATTCCCACCGCAAGCTCCAGTCAGACAAGATTATGCCTTGTATGAACAGAGAGAAGTATATCTGGAAAATAATTTGGAAGAAGGACCAACAGCATTTGCACGTAAGGTTGAATGTGGCGGGTGAGGAAGACAGACACACCAATGCAAGTTTCCATTTTAAAGAATAAGGTGAGTAGATCAAAGTAAGTATACCACTACTATGTTCAGGAATGTCATGTATAAAAATTTACCTCAAATAGATTAGTGAAAATGAAAAGAACGAATATGTTTACTGTGGGTTTATCACACACACAAAAAAACTCCATCAATTTAAATCCCTAGCATCAGGGCATAGGCTAAATATAGATAGTAAATTCACAAAATGGAAAACTCTAGTCAATAAAATGATTTTACAGAACTACAAAATGTATTCATATGATCAAATAGTTATATACAAAGAAAAATTCTGGAAGGTCATATACCAGCATTTTAATTATAACTAAGCTTTGCTTTAAATTTTCCTTTTATTAAAACTGTCTTATACCAAATGCATGATAATAATAAGACTCTATTTTTGAAAAAAAAATGACACCATATGGTAAATATTTTTTAAAATTTCCTGGGCATGATAACACAGGCCTGTTATCCCAGCAGTCAGGAGGGCTGAGGCAGGAGGATCACTAAACTAAAAAACAGTAAACATGAAAATTGTTCAATCTCACTAGTAGGCAATGTTTTATCAGATTGGCATGTTTAAAATTTTTTCTCAGTGTGGCTTAAGTGTAGGCAATTTCCCTATAAATGGAATTATTTAATGTATAAAATCAAAAGTTGAATGTGGCAATGCCTGCCTATAATTCCAACATTCTAGGGGACGAAGGCAGGAAGATTACAAGTTTGAGCCCAGTCTGGGCAATTCAGTGATGTAGGGAGGGTCTCAAAATTTCAAAATTACTTTTTTTTTTGCACAAAAGGCTGAGGATATAGCTCAGTGAGAAGGCCCTGCGTACCACAATCCTCATTACCACACACACACACTAATGACCTGAAATGTTTATCATCTGCATTTAACTGAAAAAGTGATCCTTTAAACTGTTTATACATATAGACAAAATAATATTATACGTAGAAAACTGGGACCACACAAAAAATATCAGTTTCCTCTAGGTGAATGTGATAAAGGTCTTTTTCCCCCCACTACATCTGTAAATTGGGTATGATAATGATATCCACTAACTGTATAATTAGCTGTGAGGACAAAATGATATACTTAACACAATGCCTGGTACACGCATAGTATTTATATGCATATATATATGAATATATATGTATCAAATACTTATTTTTGCCTTCTCCATTTCTTCATTTTACTCAGTAGCTTATTATAAACTATCTACAATAAACACACTTTTTTGGTACCAAGGATCAAACTTAGGACCTTGAGCTTGTAAGGCAAGTGGCAGAACCACTGAGCTAAATCCCCAGCCCCTAACATACTCACTTATTTATTTGTTTGTTTGTTTGTTTGTTTGTTTGTTTATTTATTTATTTATTTATTTATTTATTTATTTATTTATTTCGGTACTGGGGATAGAACTCAGGTCCTTGTGCTTACAAGTCTGGCGGCAGAACCACTGAGCTAAATCCCTGGCCATACTCACTTTTTAAAACTCAAAGTCATACTAATGTATTTTTCAAAAAGTCTTACACTTTAATAAATGCATTTAAAAATTATCTTATACATAAAATATATTCTACTAAGATGAGGAGAGAATGTGTAAGATATAATCTACGTGCACAAGGATTTGCAATCCATTAAGAATGATAAGAAAGACCGCTGCGTAAATGCGCAGTAGGAAAAACAAAACACTATGGTTTATTTTAAAAAAAGGCAAGATCATATCCAGGTTTTTTGTTTTTAGTGTCTGGGACTGAACTCAAGACATTAAGAGAAAGCTACATGCCATGCATATGTGTATATATGTTGCATATGTCTACAGAGACACACAGAGGAAAAACTTTCATAAAGTATAAGTAAGTATCATTTTGCCATAGCCCCTGCCCACACATCAATTTCTTTGGTGGTACTGGCTATTGAATCCAGGCCCTTTTTCTATTTTTTATTTTGAGACAGGCTCTGAATTGCCAGGCTGGGCTTGAATTTGCAATTTTCCTGTCTATCTAACCCTGAATAATATATTAAAATTTCCAATTTTGAAGTCATCAATTATGCTCATCATCTTCCACTTTAAAAACTATCACTAGGGCCAGGGATGTAGCTCAGTGGTTCTGCTGCCTGCCTAGTAAGCACAAGGACCTGAGTTCAATCCCCGGTACCAAAAAAAATCAAGTAAAAACTAATGCTAGGGCCAGGGGTTTGGCTCAGTGGTTCCACTGCCTGCCTCGCAAGCTCAAGTTTCTGAGTTCAATCCCTGGTACCAAAAAACAAATAAGTAAAAGCCAATGCTAAACTGCTGTCTAAAATAGTTATACAAATTTACATCCCACTACTAGTATGTTACTGCTGTACTATTTCCTTAAAATATTTAACTCATCCAGTCTGCACCTTTCTCCAGTTTTTCCTAGGTATGCAGAGAAATTAATATTACTAAATAAATTATGCTCTGCTAAAAAAAAAATTCAAAAATTCTTTATTCTCTACTGACTTACAAACCAGGCTTCTAACTCCTCCACAATCTTTTCCAATCTACTGATCAAACTTACATTACATTCTGCTATGAACATTCTGTTTTAAATTGGTTTATATTTCACTGTCTCTATACTTTTACTCTAGGCATTCTAATTTCTTCTTCTTCATCTCTGTTTTCTTCTGCAAAGCCATCTGTGATTCCCATTCCTGTGAATTACTATTGCACTCTATACTGGTATATTATCTTTTGGACTTACCATTTTTATCTCTATAAGAATAATTATCTGATAAGTGCATACTGTATACAACATGATCTGTAAACATTTTAAATCATAATTTTTAACTTTCCTAGTAATAACAGGGGGCAGGCAAGTAATTACATTCCAGTGAAACAGTGTAAACTGTATAATAATATACATTCTTATATTTGTCTTCAAAGTATGTGCTTTATCCACTATACCACACTATTACTTTGGTTTTACTATAAATTAGTATTTCTTAATCGTTTCATTTATAAACCTAACTATTTACAAAGACAGTGAGGCACTTAAGTATCTGCTAATATCATACCTTCTCTCTAAAAATGATCTGAGATGGCTTAAATGTAAGAGATATGATATGGACTACCAAGGAGAAAATTGTAATCAATAAAATGATAACCATAAATGTTAGTATATAGCTTGGACAGTACATTAAATTTGGCAGTTAAGACAGAAAAACATTAAATTTAATTAAATACCAGAAAGTTAGAAACTCACAAGTACCTCAAGGCACAAAGATTTCTTAAAAACAGATTTTCACATGAAACAGTGTTGTTACTCATAAACCAGTCACTGTGCATTACAATGAAAAGTTCTAAAGGATTTGACTTCTCTTGTGTACCATACAACAACACACACTGTTTCATTTGTTGAATGGCTAGAAATTATCAGTTTTAGTAAACAAAAAGATAGTGCTCACTAAAGAGGATGTTTAATTGGTGGGATTACTGAGTTTATTAGTCCTCTTGGTAAATGAAAAGGTAATGCCCACTGAAGACACTATGAAAATCTGGAGTAGCAATAGTAGGAATTTTCCAAAGTCAGAAAAAGATAAATTAAAAGAGTATTAAGTAGAAATGGGGAAAGAGAAAAATTGAACAGTACTGATTACGTGATTAGAACATTAGGACTGCATTAAGAAGTATTTTCTAGCCATACATGTTGGTTTAGGAATTATATTAGAGAAGATACACAGACTGTTGGAATCAATGAGCATAATGGTAAAGTTTTTCAGTAAAGGACCAACTAGTAAATATTCTGGGGTTAGTAGAGTCTCTGGCACATGTTATCTTTTATTTCTTAAAAATAGTGTTTTAAAAATGTATAGGCCAAATGTAAATAACATACTTTGCTGGTGAGATTTAGAAGAAAAAAAAAAAAAGACCAGGATAAAATTCTAACTTAGGAAAATACTGTAAAACTCAAATCCAGTCATGTCATCCTATACTCACTCAACTCTATAATCACTTGCAGAATTTTTCAGTTTCCTGAATACTCAGCCTAAAGCCTTTTATAACTCAAGGTCTCTATGTTTCTGCAGTTGACTTAGGTCAGTCCTTCTCCTTTTCTCAGTTTATTCTTCACTCAAAGTCCATCCCAGATGGGATTTTAGGGTTTTTTTGGTAGTGCTGGGGACCACATTCGGCCCTCTACATAAAGCACTCGACACTGAGACACAACCCAAACCCTCAAATTTCATCTTTTACTATATCCACTACAATTACCCCAGAGACCAGTAACACCTTTTCTATTCACAGCCTCTCTTCTGTTGCTCCTCTCTCCCTCAGAAGTCTCGTCCTTCTGAGTATTATGACAATGTATTTGCAGGCTTCTATCTTTGTGTCCACCATGACTCTGAGTGTCTCAGAGAAGAACAGCCTTACCTGTCTTGCCATTCCCTCTCTCTCACACCACTGCCACACAATGCATTAAAACGGCACATGCTCCAGAAATATCCCTCAGTGAGTAGATGATATACTTAACATTTGTTAACATAAGTATCTCTGCTGAATAACTAAAATCCTAAAATTGTTACTTTACACAATCATAATTGCTTACTACAAAAAACTTTTCAATTTAAGTCCCCTATAATTTTAAAACATTTTTCTATTTTACATGCCTTGTGTTCATGAGTTGTACAGTTATCTGTTCCATTATATTCTGTAAGCTGATCTCTTCTTTTTTCTCTAATAAGAATTTTATGAACATCATCTTCCAATCTATTGAAGAATCCTCCATCATGTGATAAAGTCTGAGTAGAACTCAATTCCTGTCAAAAATGAATTATGATTACCATTCAACATAAAAATGTACGAATTTATCAAACCTACTTAGGCACTAGAAGGATAAAGAATAAAATACAATAGCAAAGAGACAACCAGTCTTTCTCTCTCTCTAGAAGACAAACAGCAGAGACATATATACACATGTTCTTTTCTTCATATTCTAGAGTTGAGTATTGCTTGATTGTTAAACTTGTCATTTATATATAATTCACACACAATATGCACAAACCAATGGTTTTTGTATATATTTAGTTGTACATTCAACACCACAATCAATGCAGTGTTTTTATCTCTCCAAAAAGAAACCCTACCCTCAACAGCAATCACTTCCCATTTCCCACAACACCTCCTCCAGTCCCAGGCAACACCAATCTATTTTCTATTTCTATAAATTTGTGTATTCTGGACATTTCATACAAATGCAATAATTTGGTATTATTATTTTTTGTTGTTGTTGTTCCTAGCCTCTCTGGCTTAGCAAAATATTTTCTTCTGTTTTTTTGGTACTGGGGATCAAACTCAGGACCTTGTGCTTGCAAGTCAGGCAATGGAACCACTGAGCTAAATCCCAGCTAAGCAAAGTATTTTCAAGGTTCACCGTGTTACAGCATGCAGTCAGTACTTATTTTTTGCTGTCACGTAATAACTCATTCTATATTACCACATTCTCCATCACGGGTCATGTGTTAGCACTGGTCATCACATGGACATTTAGGTTTCTACTTTTTGGTTATTATGAATAGTACTGCTATGCATAGTGATGCATAAGATTTTGTGTGGACATATTTTCAATTCTGATGGGTATAAATTTAAGAGTACAATAGCTGGGTCATATGGTAGCTGTTTAATTCTTTTGAGATATTGCCAAACAGCTTTCCAAAGCTTCCTACAATTTACAACCCTATCAGCAGTACAAGAGCGTTCCAATTTCTCCATATTCTCACTGACATTAGCTATTATTATGTTTTTATTATAGCCAACTTCTTGGGTATGAAATTATCTCATTGTGGCTTTGAGTGTCATTTCCCTGAAAGCCAATAGAGTTAAGCGTCCTTTTATGTGTTTTATTTGTGTATCTTTTTTAGAGAAATGTCTACATAAATTCTTCTTTAAGGTAACGGGGAATAAGCCTGGGGCCTCACACATACTAGGCAACTATTTCAAAATGAAGCTATATACCGAGCCCTTTTTTATTTTCTTTTGAGAAAGGGTTTCACAAAGTTGCCCAGGCTGGTCTTGAATATGTGACCTTCCTGCCTCACCTTCCTGAGTGGCTGAGATTACAGCACGCAACACCATGCCAGGCTTTGCTCATTTTTTAATTGGGTTACATGTATTTTTACTTTTGAGTTATATGAGTTCTTTATGTGCTGTAAGTAACCATGTATGACCTGCAAATATTTTCTCCTATTCTGTGAGCTGTTTTGAAAAATTTCATAGTGTCCTTTGTACATCATAAAAGTTTGTAATTTGGATTTAGTCCAACTTATCCAAGAAACCATTGTCTAATTCAGGGTCACAAAAATTCACTTCTACATTTTCTTCTGAGTTTCACAGCATTAGTTCTTTCTTTTAGTTAATATACATCTCAACCTAATACACACACACACACACACCCTGGAGACCCAGGACCCAATATATGCTAAGCTGCCCCCCAGCTCCACTGAGACAAGGTTGCCGTGACTGGTCTCTAATTCCCTGGCCCAAGCAATCCTCCTACCTCAGTCTCTTGAGTAGTTGGGACTACAAAAACATGACACCACGCTTGGCTTTAGCTCTATTAGTCCTGGGATCTACTTAGAATTAATAGTATTTATGCATGGTGTGGAAGAGTTCAACTTGATTCTTTGCATGCAGATATTCAGCATCATTTGTTGCAAAAAATTTTTCTCCATAGAATTGTCTTGGCACTCTCATCTAAAAATCAACTGAACATAAATATCAGGGTTTGTTTTGAAACTTTTAATTCTATCAAACCCTATGTCATTCTTCTGCCAGGACCACAATGTCTTGATTACTAAAGCTTTGTATTGCTCAATCTTTTGCATTCCATTTTTTGGCGGGGTGAATACTAAGAAACTCAGAACCTTGTGGTGCCACTGAGCTACATCCCTGGCCCTACATTCCACTTAAAAGTAATTTTACACCAATTCTATACACAACAGAATATTTTAAAGAAGTAAGATTTATCACTAATCATATAAGACTAGACATTTTCTATATTCTCCAATAAAACCAGAATTTCTCCAACTTCCTATTATGAACACAGAGACTATAGAAAATGTTCCTCTCATTTTCATTGGTTGCACCTGTTTCCCAAATTCTTAGGCTATAATACTCAAAATTTTACCCATTTCAATTTTTTTTTTTTGAGGCAAAGTCTCACTTTGTAGTTCAGGCTGGTCTTGAACTCACTATGTAGGTCAGGCTGGCCTCAAACTTGCAACAATCTTCCTGCCTCAGCCTCCTGAGTGCTGGGATAAAAAGTATACACTACCATGTCTGCCATTTCAACTGTATTTTTGAAAAACTGTTACCATAGCTCCATGACTATTTATCCTTTTCCTTTCATATTACCTTTGAAGGTAAAGTGTTTGAAAGAAAATTTTACTTGTATGTCAGTATTTACTATTCAAATGGCATTAAAAATGTTTGTATGGTACTTCATATTTTGTAAAGCACTTAAACATTACTGGAATCACATCAGCATTATCTGAATCTCATAAATACCATGAAAAGCTGACAAAGCAAGTATTATTTCCTCATCAGGAATGCCTATCAGTCTCTGGTAAATGGCATTATCTGTAAGTCTACTGACTCACAAAATACTCTCAGTATAATATTCTGGTAATATTTCATTTTAAAGCACTGAATATGAAATTCTTAAAAGACTGGTGAACTTCTATGAGAGGACTAGCATGTTGTTGGCAACTAATCAGCCTCTAAATTTCATGTCATTGCAATTCCACTGGGCATGGTGGTACATGCCAATAATCCCAGCACTCTGGGAATCTGAAGTGGGGATCACAAGTTCAAGTCTAGCCTGGGCAACTTAATAAAACTGTCTCAATTTTTTAAAAAGTTGGGAGGGTAGGAGCTGGAAATGTAGTTTAGTGCCAAGGCCCTGGTTTCAAGTCCCATACTAAGGATTAAATCTAGGGATGTTCTATCACAAGTAGCCCTTTTTATTTTGAGACAGAGTATCCCTAGGTTGCCCAAGCTGTCCTTGAATTTGAATCAGTAACAGTTCTTTTTTTGTTTTGTTTTTTGAGACAGGATCTCACTATGTAGTTGAGACTGACCTGGAACTCACTATGCAGCCCAGGGTGATCCGAACTCACAGTGATCCTCCTGCCTCAGACTCCCTAGTGCCGGGATTACAGGCGTGTGCCACCATGCCCAGCTTGCCTAGGTTTTTATTTGTGAATGAAACACAAAGTATCTTTTTAGCCTACAGATGAAAATATTCAAACTGTTCCTTGATAAGCTATGGTGTGAAGTGAAAAATAACTTAGCCGTAACTCACCCCACACCTTGGGGAAAAAATGTGGTAAATTTAACAACAGAGATTCTTTAGAAAGTTTAGCTCATTCAATTTCAATTTATTCAAATTCAGACTGTACAGTGTGTACAGTAGGTAGGACAATACAACATATGTGATATATGGACATAGACCAATGGAATAGAATTGAGAATCTACCACATAGACTTTCATATTTATGGTCAATGTATTTTTTAAAAAAGGTTTGAGGGCTGGGGATTTAGCTCAATGGTACCACTGCCTGTCTTGCAAGCACAAGGTCCTGAGTTTGATCTCCAGTGCCAAAAAAAAAGGAAAGAAAAAGAAAAGAAAGAAAGACATAAAGAGGGGGAAGAAAAGGTTTGAGATATTTCATTGAGAAAATAAAAGCATTTTCTATAAATGGTTCTGGAATGGCATACCATATACAAAAAATAATTCAAAAAATGGATCATAGACTTTACATGAAGAAATAAAACTAGCTAGGTATGGAGGTACACAACTGCAATCTCAGTACAGTGGGAAGCTGAGGCAGGAAGACTCCAAATCTGAGCCCAGCCCAGGCAACTCAGTGACTTATGGAGTCCATGCCTCAAAATGAAAAAAAAAAAAAAAAATTAAAAAGGCTGGGGAATAGCTCAGTCTGAAGGCCTGGGTTCAACTCAGTACTGAAACAACAACAATAATTAAACAAAACTAGGAGGGCCAAGGATTTAGGCTCAGTGGTGCTGCCACCTGCCTCACAAACAGAGGGACACAAGTTCAATCCCCAGTACCAAAAAACAAAACAAAACAAAAAAATTAAACAAAACAAAACTAAAAACATAATGCCTCTAGAATAATTATACACTTGGGTAAGGCAAGGAGTTACTAAATGAATATGGAAAATGCAATTCATTAAAAACTGATAAATTAAACAATCAAAACTTTAAACTTTGGTGCTTTTTAAAAGGCATTAAAACTGCCGCCTGCCTCTCAAGCACAACGGCCCAAGTTCAATCCCTGGTGGCCCCCCCAAAGGCATTAAGAAAATGTAAAGGCAAAGCATAACCTGGAAGAAAATAATTGGAAATTATTTCCAACTTCTTACAAGTAAGAAGACAATAGACCTAAAATGGGAACAAGGTAGTTACCAAAGCTGTAAAACGTCTGATTGGCACATGAAAAGATGGTCAACAAGAAAATGCAAATTACAATTACAATGAGGCATACTGCACCCTCACTAGAATGGATATATTAAAAATAAAGACATTGGCAAGGATATATAGGAACTGGTAGGAAAGATAAATGGAGTTGCTGATAGGAATGATAAATGGTACAGCCACTTTGAACACAACTTAACAGACTCTTAAAGAGTTGAGTTTACCATACAAGAAAGCAACTTCACTCCTAGTATCAACCTGAGAGAAATTAGAACGTACAGCCACACAAAGACACACCAAATGCTCACGAACAGCACTCCCA